GCAAAGATGCTTCTGTGTGGATTGCTTAAAGTTATCTTCTTGTTTTTTAGGAACAAAATATAGATCCTCTCTGACAGTAGGTGATTGCTTTGGTATGGGGAAGACTGCTTACAATGATGGAGACTACTATCACACAGTACTCTGGATGGAACAAGCCTTAAAACAACACGATGAGGGGGAGGATACAACAGTCAGCAAAGTGGAGATCCTAGATTATCTCAGCTATGCTGTTTTCCAGTTTGGGGATTTACACAGAGCTATGGAGCTTACCAGACGTCTGATATCCCTTGGTAAGAACAAAAGACCCACTATTCCAGCACTGGGGAGTGTTGCCAGCAACAGAGCCAAGAACAGTCATGTCATGGCCCATAAGTGTTGGTGAGCTGACTGGAAGGTTATTCTGCCAGATGACTTATAATAAACATAGGTCCTGAAAAAAAAGTCTACTTATACATGAAGTATCTTTAACAAGGTATCTTATAGTCCATGTTGTTCTTACCCAAAGACTAAATGTGTGTCTGGGTGTTGTACCTGTGTGCTTTGCCTCAGTGTACTGAGATGCTGTGTTTGGTAATGGTTAAAGCCTGGCTTGTCTCAAGTGGAGATCAAGGCTGCCACGGACTTGGGCAGCATGCTGTCTGCAAAGTCCTACTGACTTCACATAATTTATCTTTATTCCCCAGTGCAGGTATTCTCTGATGCCAGAAGGATACTTTGCCTGAGATCTTAAAGTATTTATTCCTGAATATTCCAAACAGATTGAGTTTCTTAAAGCCTCCTTTTTATCTCTGGTCTGTTTCTAGCTTTCTCTTGAGTAAGCAAATAAGCATTGCTTCCTATCTAACTCTGCCTGCTTCCTGCATTGGAAAGGTTTATCCTCCCTAATTAGAGTTAACATCTACTGTGTTATGTATTTGTATGTTTTCTTAATCAGCTGTGGTTTTTAGTTTAGCCGTTAGCTGTATCCTGAGCGTGGGTGAAGCCTTTTCTGTTGAAAAATGTTAGTCTGATTTCTACAGACATTGAAATTTGTGGATTAACATTTACAAGAATATGAATATGTATTGAATTGAGCTCCCTCTGCAGTGGGGTTTAGCACTGATAGCAGCATGCAAATCCTTATCAGCACCAAACAGTGGAACAGACTTGGCAGTCAGTCCCTTCTGGGAGCAGCAGCTTCCTCTGCTCTGGGCTCAACTTCCTCCTCTGGCCACTATTAGCCTGTCCTCTAACGAGTGGTTACTTTAGTGGCCTTCTGGGTTAGTTCCATAAGATATGAGAGGGCCAGAAGGGAAAGAAAACGTTGTAAGTGCTGGTGTCCAGAAACAGAGGATTTTTCCTTCTTAGTTCTGCAGGTTATAGATCTATTGATGATGTTTATTGATTCATACCAACATCCTTAATAAATAACTAAGGATAGGTCCTGTGGTGCTAGTGATCCAGGATACCTCCCATATAAACCTCTGACAAACATCTAGAGGTGGATGCTGTAGGTGGGCTGTTGGTATCTCTGAGCTTCCCAACTTTGGAGGAAGCCTTTGGGACTGAAGCCTGTGGCTGGGACTCTACTGCATCCCTTGGTTAAAGCATGCTTGGGCAGTGTGGAGGAGAAGCGTAGTGGAGAGCAGGGGTGCAACAAGTAGACTAGCTTGATCTCTGCTGATGAGCTCTATCATCTTTGGTAGAACTGGGCAGAAAAGTTGAGAGAAAAGGAGGTATGTGAAGACCAAAACATCTTACTTTTTTTTTCCCCTTGTAATACAAATTTTGAGATGGGTCCTTCCAGAAAAGATTCTTTTGCAGGCTATGCCTACCTTGCCTCTGCAAAGACAAACTTCCCAGTGCTAGTCTTCAGTGCAAACTGGAACCAGTGCCTTTGGTTGCCTGATAATGCTTTAAGAAGTGGAGAATTAAATGACAAAACAAGGGGAAATGGGTTTAATTTTTTTCCCCTTGTAATACAAATTTTGAGATGGGTCCTTCCAGAAAAGATTCTTTTGCAGGCTATGCCTACCTTGCCTCTGCAAAGACAAACTTCCCAGTGCTAGTCTTCAGTGCAAACTGGAACCAGTGCCTTTGGTTGCCTGATAATGCTTTAAGAAGTGGAGAATTAAATGACAAAACAAGGGGAAATGGGTTTAAGCTGATGCAGTGTGGAGGAGAAGCATGGTGGAGAGGAGGGATGCAACAAGTAGACTAACTTGATCTCTGCTGATGAGTTCTATCATTTTATCTTTGGTAGAACTAGACAGAAAAGTTGAGAGGAAAGGAGGGATGTGAAGACCAAAACATCTTACTTTTTTTATTCCCCTTGGAATACAAATTTTGAGATGGGTCCTTCCAGAAAAGAGTCTTTTGCAGACTATGCCTACCTTGCCTCTGCAAAGACAAACTTCCCAGTGCTAGTCTTCAGTGCAAACTGGAACCAGTGCCTTTGGTTGCCTGATAATGCTTTAAGAAGTGGAGAATTAAATGACAAAACAAGGGGAAATGGGTTTAAGCTGAAAGAGGGGAGGTTTAGATGAGATATTAGGAAGAAGTTCTTCACTGTGAGGGTGGTCAGACACTGGAACTTCTTGCCTGATGATACTTTAAGAAGTGGAGAATTATTGCTGTCTTGATACAAAAAGTTATTTGTACTAACAGTTCCTGAGACTGTGTAAATCACTGGGTTCTGTCTGTTCTTCTCCCAATGAAGACAGTACTCATGAGAGAGAATTATTGCTGTCTTGATACAAAAACTTATTTGTACTAACAGTTCCTGGGACTGCATAAATCACTGGGTTCTGTCTGTTTTTCTCCCAATGAAGACAGTACTCATGAGAGAGCAGGCAGCAATCTGCGGTACTTTGAGAAGTTGCTGGAGAAGGAGAGAGAGGAGAAGGAGAAAGAGAAGTCAAACAAGACCATGATGACAACAGAACCAGTGGTGCAAAGTGGTGCCTATGAGAGGCCTCTTGACTACTTGCCAGAGCGTGATATCTATGAGGCCCTTTGCAGAGGTGAAGGGGTAAAAATGGTAAGAGAAAGGCAAGAATTTCCTGACAACACTGCCTTTGCATAAAGATGATCAAGCTTGTTGGGGCATGTGAAGTTTTTCCTTTGAAGCTACTTTTTTTTAAAGAAAAAAATTAAATGTATTTTTGTGCAGACTGAGATTTGTACCTTATGTCTTGGCCTCTCTAGCTGTTAATCCTAAACAGCAAAGCAGCCCTCAACCATACCTCTTCAGGGTTGTTGGAAATTGATTCTCCTCAGTCTCTCTCCTCAGCCATTTCAGATGCTGGCTGTACAGATATACTTGAAGGCTTTTTCCACTAACAGCTGCTTAGGCTTTTCCACACTTATGGAATCACATTATTCCTTCCCTTTTACATCTTAAAGACATCTCCTTCTGGGGAGACCAACCAGTCTCCAGGACCTCTCAACAAACATGGCTTTAATTCTCAGTGCAGGGAAAAGAATTAATTTATTCCATCTGCATAGTCTTAATTATAAGAACCAGACGTCTTTTACTGCCTGCTGTTTGTGCAGTTACTTGCTTAATCTGTAACCTATTATCATTTCATCCTCCTAAAGGTTAGTGTTTCAGATATTGCTCAGTGCTATCAAGTGGCATATGTTGGATTTTTATTTGCAGTAAATGCTGAATTGCTCATGCTTACCTCTTAAATTTGCTAGTCAGCTGATGGCTTTTGCAGTGTTAATGGAATGAAGCTCACTTTCTTTTTTTGTCTTGCCTGTTTTCAGTTCATGAAAAGTGGTTGAGCAAACGATGTTTTATTTGGCATTTTGTTTCAGACACCTCGAAGACAGAAAAGGCTGTTTTGTAGATACCATGATGGAAACAGAAACCCTCATCTGCTCATAGCTCCCTTTAAGGAAGAAGATGAATGGGATAGCCCTCATATTGTACGCTACTATGATGTCATGTCTGATGAAGAAATTGAGAAAATTAAACAACTAGCTAAGCCAAGGGTAAGTTTTCCCCTCTTCCATCTCGCTAATGACTGCTAATTCCATGCTTTAATCTCTATTAGCAAAGACTAGGCAAAGGATTTGAAAGATCTGGTTTCATACCACAGATGATACACTGCAGCTGTGAGCCTAAGGGGAACGATTTCGAAACTGCCTGGTGATGTAGGACCATAAAGCCCAGGCTCCTGAAGGTATTTATGCATTGTTGCACTTAATTATACAAAGTTCTCAGTATGTGGCTTTAGAAACCTTTTAGGAAACTAGAGACTAGATGTGGAAAGGTAGATGACTGACTGGCTTACAGGGATAGGAGCAGTTGATAAACCTTTAGCCTGCCTTTTGAAATGGAGAGGAACTTCAAAACAAAATTTAAAAAGCCCAAATCCCAACAGAAGTGGGAAGAAAAGTGTTTTTTTTTAGTTGTGCTAGAAGAATGTCTAGAGGTTTGTATTTTGCTTTGGGTAGCCTGGAATCCACTGCTGCTGTTTTAAACCAGAGCTGCACAGAGGCAGGCACTTTAGATGCCACAGTGCATCCACCAGTGTAACTGCAGTGTTCTCCTGAAGCCACACACAGCTTATTTGGAATAATGTGATACAGTTAACAAAAAATAGAGTAATCAATTGTGCTCTTTAGTAATTCCCAACCTGGAACTTGGGAAGGATGGATTGCTTGTAAGGATAAATGCACAATGCAGTCATTCTCCCAGAACACTTTAGATCTGACTCTTCCACCTAGATAAGCTGTCTGGGCAGCAGGGAAACAGATGTGACCACTTCAGTCTGCTGAGTGTAGATCCAACTTAAAGGCAGCAACTTTGGGAACTCTAGTTTTGATGCAATACCTGGTGCCCGTGGTGTGAATTCTAGTGCCTGTGCACACAATAAAAAAAAAGCAGCTACCTAATGTAAAGCTAATAATTATCTTGTCTGATTTTTCTGGAGGTGGAATTTCCTATCTAACTGTTTCCTTTCTGGCAAAAAAACCTATGGCAGTGTTGAGATCAGTAGTAGATGCTACACCTTACTTGTCTGTCAGGTCTGACAAGCATGTAAAACTAAACACTTCTATTTTTATAGATCAAGGGTTCATTTTAGAACTCTTTTAGCTACTGCTGTGAAATGTGGTACTAAAATTCCAGTCAAGAATTACCCTTCTGTATGTGTTCCTAAATGTAAACATAAATATCTAGTCAGAAATAGACTGAGAAACTGATGCTTCCTAAGACCATTAATAATTTGGGATGTTTGTGAAGCTGGACTTCTATGACTACCAGCCAGCTATGGGAGTGTTGGCAGAACACTCCTGTCTCGATGAGGGCTCTCACCTCCATAAATGGAGACTTTTTCCTATTACATCATACTAAAAAACTTCTAAGACCTTTAGATAAAATGGGAGCATTCAGATAGAGTGTGTCACCTAATCTATTTTATCAAATTAAGCACATTTGAAATAAGGCAGCTATTCATTTTTTGTTTGGTTTTCCCTTTTTGTTCGAAGTTGAACATAAGCTTTTCCATAAAACTTTGAGCCTTAAGTCTCACTGAATTTTTCTTATGCCACTAATGTCAGAGGAATTCTTTGTATAATCTATGTAGAGCAGAACTGGGATCAGTCCCTGTAAGAGCAGGTAAATGTTGTAGTCTTAAGATTCAGATGCAAGTTTTAAATTTAAAAAAAAAAGGCAAATATTATCTTTTAACTTAATTTTTCTAAATCTGTCTAAAGCTCATCTGCAGGAATAGCTTTAAATTCTGCTGAAAAAAATGGAAAATGCAAGTCCTGTGATGACATGCTCCTTCATAAATATAACTTAATTTCAGCCAGGAAATTTTAGTTAGTAATCATGGAAGCTTTCAGACAGAACTCTGAAGCAGTATGTTAGTTTTGGGCTCAGAAAGATGACCAATTCCTCTGTTCTAAAATGCATTTGCAAGAAACTTCTGCTTCTGGGTTTGGGTCCGAGCACCTAAACTGCAGTTTACACTTGCCAGTGGTTTTTGTGTTGCAAAAAACATCTGTACGTGATTGTGAGTAGCTGCATTCAAGTTTTCATGCTTGTTTTGCAAAATGCAATCACTTTTACTCCAGTTCCAAAAAGCAGTTCCAACTTTTCAGGCAATACATCAGAGCTGACTGGGAAGACTCAAGAAAATTCTTAACTTTTAACGGTGTGGATAGCATTGGGACAGATCTGCCACAAAATTGAGAACCTTATTCCCAAAGTTCTGGGTGCTACTTGCAATATAGACGTGCCTGAACAGGCCAACATATGGCATGGAGGGGGACACTTGAATATCTTGGGAGCTTGGTGCTGTAGGATTTCAGAAGGAAAAGCCAAAAGGGGAGTGCATGCTAAACTAGACAGACTCAAAAGAAGCTTCTGAGCAATCCAGGTGGGTTATGAGGACTCTTCAAAGCCCAGCAAATCATAGAATGGTTTGGGTTGGAAGGGACCTTAAAGATCATCTAGTTCCAGCCCCCCCTGCCATGCCTATTACAAGGCTGCTTTCTCCCCCCTGAGAGAAGAAGCCTCACGCTTATCAGTTGGTTGTAGCAAGTGAGGTATAAATTGGATGCCTTAAGTAAAGAGGCCTGCCTGTCAGAAAGAGAAATTTTCTGTTGTCATTCACAGGAAATACAGAATAATATGAATGTAGTCAGGCTTATTTTAGTTCTGATCCATTTAGATCAAATGTTAGGTGTGGAAATCAAGCAAGTATATACAAGCTTGAAAATGGCAGTGGAATGAAAGGTTTGGGAAGCTAAATTATATCCTAAAAGCTATGCTTCAGTGTACAAATGAAGAACACCATCCAGTCAGCCTGGCTCTTCTGTTATGATTTATGCAGGAGAAATCTGGAACAAAACAGCAGTGACTCAGAATTACAGGAACAGCTGTGCCAAGAACTCTTGTATAGGGACAAGACAGCTGACATGAATTGTAAAGCTGGCTGGAGACTTCTTTGAGGAAAAATGAAGGAAATAATGACTGTATACTCTGAAGAAAATGCAAATAAAAAGGCTTTCTCTAACCTATAATTAAGTGGAAGGAAGGAGGCATGATTTAAAGTGTTTGTGGTTTGCAGGAGATAAATTTATATGTGGTCTGAGTGTACAGTCAAAGAAAGGAGTGTCCCAGTTCTTGTTCTCAGCTGCAAGTGTAAAACCAAAGTGACCTGTTGTGTTACACTAGCAGTGGTCTGTCACTTTGACACCACAGCAAATCTGATAAGTTTTGCCAAATTCTAAGTTTTTCATTCAAATACAGGGATGTGGCCTGTGATGATGCATTACTGGCTGTTTAAAATGTGTAGGTGAACTGTGCTTTTCCAGAATTGCTTTCATAATGTAGTAACATTATCTTAAACTGTCTCTGGGAATTAAATATTCCAAGCATCTTCCAGCTGGAAAATCTGAGCATGGTAATGTTGAGAGTTGCCCTCAGGAGTTTTCTACTGTTGTGGATTTGCCTACCCCGTAATTTGAATTCATTCTGTAAAAGTTTTCACTTGTTTTTCACCTGAATGAGGTTGGGTTTTTCAGTCCACGTGAGGAACAGGCTGATTAAATTTATGGAGTACCCAATGATTTTTCTTTTTGCCATGAACTTGGGCTTCATATGTTGTTAACTTTTCTTGTTCCCTCTCACTCATATTGACTCCAGCTGTTTAAGAAAATGCCTTCAAAACCTGTTCAGCAAGCAGTATTTGTGGATTTAATGAATATCATGGCTTGTGCAGTCAGTCAGATTCTTTTGCCAGGATCAAATGCAGGTGATGGATTGTACTTGTGTTTCTGCATGTATTGCTCTAGCATAAAATCAGAACAAACTCTAGGTCAGAGCTATAACTTTCATCCAGTGATATATTCAAGTTGAACAAATTAGGTGTTGATTTTGGTTAAGATGAGAGCATTTTTTTTCTAACCTGTAGTTGATGTGTTTCTTCCCCCTTGGGATTTTTTTTGACACAGCTGTCACGAGCCACAGTACGTGATCCCAAAACTGGTGTCCTTACAGTGGCTAGCTACAGGGTATCAAAAAGGTAAGCACAGAGAAGAGTTTAGCTTTAAGGTTTTTGTGCTTAACAGCTGACATCTGCTACCTACAGCTGAAAATCTGAGTGCTTTGCATGTAGCAAAAGCTTGCACAACAATTAATTGCATGGTAAATGGCTCTCTGCCATCTGACTGGGGGCAAGAGAAACCTCCTGCCTTGGGAAATGGGTTGTTGTGGCTGGTATTACAACATAATGTGCTTCAATCCTTCCCTTCTCCTAGCTCGTGGTTGGAAGAAGATGATGATCCTGTTGTGGCCAAGGTGAATCAACGCATGCAGCAGATCACAGGGTTAACAGTGAAAACAGCTGAACTGTTGCAGGTTGGTACATTTGTCTTGTCAGACTCTGTCCTGGTAAAATGAGCTGGTGGTCAGGGTGATCTGGTGCTTATGGGGGTGTAAACAGAGGTTGGCTCTTATCCCGTCCCCCTTAGGGGTTCTGCTGTCTGCTGACTAAGCAGATGCAGTAGAGAAGGTGGGTATGTGTAGGGTGTTCCCAGCTGCTGCTGCTGCCTGTAAGGACCTGGCAAGTAGATGTTTTCCCTTTGTGTGCCAGGCAGAGAAGGGTGGAGATACCAAAGACATGGAAGATAACATTGTGCAGGAATCTGATTTACCTGTTTGTTTTGAGGGAAGTGGTTGCTGCTTATTTTCAAGTCTGCAGAAGTTGAACCTGCTTCCTAGTTGAACCTCTGAAAGACACAAATATTTTCTTATAGTTTCATATTCTTGTATGAAGTCTGATCTTTGGCTGTCTGTTGGGGAGAAGGAGTGGTGCAGCACTGTACCTTGGCCTCTTTACTGCTCCTCTTCCTCCATGCTCCTTGAATTCCTGTTTTAGAGCCTGATTGGTGTTGATTACTGGCTATCCACAGAAACCAGGTAATTGTGTAGTGATCTTGGAGACATGTTAAGTGCAGCCTCAGAGTAATTAAATCATAAGTTACGTGATCCTCAGATAAAGTAAGCAAAGTGGTGCTTCTAAGCTACTTTGAGCCTTCTGTGTTCCTGGGTGGTCATGTATATGTAACAGATGATACACATGTGTCTCAATCGAATTCTAGGCCACGTGTCTCTTAGTTTGGAGTCACATACTACAAAAATACACACACTCAGCTCCTTCCTCTTTAGAGGGGGGAGCAAGAGTGTGGCAGAACTAATGCTGCTAATTCATGTCAAACAGGCTGTTGTAGTAATAAGTAGAGTGCTGCCACTGAGAACCGTTTGGTGCTGAAAATGCTGTCAGTGAAACCCTTGAACTGTGAAAGGGAAA